ACAAAATCAAGAATAATTATAATATATATCACTTTCTTTGCCCCCAAAAAAAAAAAAAAAAAAGATCCGCATGCAGGAGCCATGCACTAATAGGAAGAAAAAAACGACACCAAGGAAGTGAACAATAAATTTCAGGTCTTGTTATGTTCCACGTCTTTTGTTGGGGATATTTAAGTTGTTCCATGACTTAATGCCTTGATGATCCTTTTTATGTAGGTGTACATTACTTTAAAACGATAAATCATATATTTTCAATATATTATAGCGTCATATACATAGAGTTCATTTGCATAAATCATAGTCAATCGGTGGCTAAAATGTTCATATAATTTTTCATGAGACCCCACTATTTCAAACTTGTAGCACCTTGTAATTATAATGTTTTGAACCCAAACCCGAAACCTAAAACAGAACAACGTGAACTGATGCTATTTGAAAGAAGGTCCCATGACTATCTTTAATGTAATCGGTTCCAAATTATTACATTTATTTTATTTATTTTTGTAAAGAAAAAAGAACAAAGAAAGAAGAGTGGGTCATGTTAAATTTGGACCGTCTATTTTCTTCTCTTACGTACGATAACTCACATGGCCTTTTGATTCCTTTGAAGCAATCAATGACCTCTCTTCTCCGATTTGATTCCTTTGAAGAGACGACTCTCTGGCCTTTATATAGATGTAATTGTAACCCTAAATTCTCAAGGTCTCCCATCCAAGTTCTCCGCCAAAATTTAAAAATTCCTACCATTATTGATTCTGCAGCCGTTTCTCCACTCACCATGGCCTCCAGCTCCAACCCCACCGGAGAATCTTCGAGAAGAATTGTCGGTAAGAGTTTTAATTTCTCTACCTCCTCCTGGATTTTCAATGATATATCAATATAGAGTTATAACTCTTCTGGGACGATTTCATTTTTATTACAGACGAGGAAGTATCCGTGTTGTGGGACCTCAACACTTGTCCGGTGACGGATCATTATTATCTGACCAAGATTGTTGACTCTATAGAAAACTCCTTAAACGACTTACATCGGAACAACCCCAAGCTTTATCCCAAATTGCGTCTGTCATCAACTAGGATTGTTTGTGGCGATAAAAAGAATTTTGGTACGACTGGTACACGTATCCTTAAAAATCAAGGTTTTGATCCATTTTATGCAGTTGAGAGAGGCAATGGGTGCAGCCAACACAGAAGAGCCAAGAGCACTGAACCAGCGGCAGATTGTCTTTTAGAAACGTATGCTTTGAGATACGCCGAATTCCGTCCTCGGCCGCATCCGCCACGGAACATACTATTCATTACAAGTGATTACCGCTTTCACGCTACAATGGATAATTTCTTTCGCGGAAACCATTTAATCTTCTTAGCTTACAAATGCCGTACTTCACATCCAAATTTTGGATTACACACGAACTTTGGCTGGGATTGGGAAGATATGGAACTCGGTCAAAATGGTTTGAAGATTGACAACTTTACGCTTCCAGGGGTTTAACAAGACTAATATCATTTCCTATTATATATATATTTCCTATATTTATGTATTTTCATCTTATTCTTCATGTAAGTTTTAATTTTATTTCTATGTATTTTCATCTTATATTCTCCATGTATTGCTATGTAATTTCTTTATAAATTTTATCTATGTGTTTGGTATCTTTTTTGAAGCTCAAATCAGTTTTAGCACTAGGAAAATGTGTTAGGTATATTTTTTTTTGTTGTACCTCTGGTGTGACTGCTGTAGTTAGGATTTACCCTTGTCGAGTTGGCTGATCTCATTGATGCAAAATGAATACCTAGTCATATATAGGACATGTTTTTCGAGTGAATTTTTTTGAAGAAATATTTATTTCCACATTTTCAATATCTTACTTATTATATTTAAGGTTTTCTTGTGCATTTGAATTTTGGTAGGTCGTGGTTAGACCATATCATAAACAATCTAGACATGGTTATCCAGAAAATAAGAGACGTTGAAAAAAAAAAAAGACACGCTAGCTATTTGTTGAAACGCTAGATTTTATGGCGGTAATTACGAAATTAATGATCCACCAATTGAAAGTGTCTATATACAAAACGCAAACGCTAAAAAATTATTTTGGTAAAAATACTCATTGCTTGAAACGCTCTCAAAGATTCTGAATGGTGACCACTTGATGCGCAGCCATCGATAACAGAGTTCCAAGATGTGAGATCCCTTGTTTCCGATATCGACTCGAACAGCAGGAATGCTGAAGTAAGGTCCCTGCAACTGATGTACATGTTTATTACTGAATTAGCCGAAAGGATATTATTCCCAAGCCCTAGCATTTGCAGCCAACAGTGGACTGATTTGCCAAAGATGAGAGAGTCAGACGAATCACAAGAATACTCACTGAAAACTTCCTTGAACAGATTCTTAGCTTCTTGTGTAAACCCGTTTTGCGCGAAAGCAGATATCATATCGAGTTCCATGAAACCAAGTCTCGATCTGTTGTTGTCTTGAACAACAAGTCAGCCTGAGGTTTTAAGCCACATTTACGTTACATATCAATAACACTGTTTATTACCTCTAAAGCTCTGGATTGCATCTCCCAGCGAACCGTATAACCATGAACTGCTCTTCCCTCTCGTGACAAACAGAAATCACCACATATGGAAGTTATTGAAACCACGGTGGCGATATCAGGCTGGATCTTATCCACCGATTGCATTTCCTTCAAAACACCAAATGCTTCCTCGAACATTCCATTTGCAGCAAACCCATTAAGGATTGCATTCCAAGAAATAACATCCTTGCACAATAATTCTTCAAACAAAGTTTCCGCGCCTCGGCGTCCTCACATTTTGAGTACATCGAAATGATGGAGTTGGCCACAGAGACCTCAGCTTCTGGACTATAACCTGATTTTATAACCAACCCGTGGAGGGGTTCACCCAAAGGAAGTTTTTCAAGAGAAGAGCAAGCTGAGATAACGCATGAAAAAGTCACACTATCAGCCTCTTGTCCTGAACCAGTCATCGACTTGAAATATTTCAACGATTTCCTGGGATACCCATCTGAAATACATCGAGTCACTATCGTGTTCCAAGAAACAATGTCCCGGTGCTCCATATGCGTGAACACACACACACTCTGTGGAGCTCAAGTCCTCGCCTTTTGCATATAGAATCATCAATGCATTGCACAAACTAGAATCCGAAACCAAACTAGTCTCTATTGCTAAACAATGAACCATTGGAAATTTCTTTGAAAGATGTAACGTGGATAACGCCGAAGCTGCAAGTAAGAGCGTCGTAGAATCAAACTCATATCCCTTCTGAATCATCTCAACGAACAATCCAACAGCTGCCATGTAATGTAATGACCATTTTGATTCGAACCAGTGATCATACTGTTCCAAACAATCACATCTTTATCTTTCAATTCACCAAATAGGCCCAAAGAAGACACTAAGTCCCCCGCGTAAAGCGTCAGAAGCTTCGAAGATGTAGTTAAATCTTGGACACTCCTCGGAGTCTCTGTCTCTGTTATCATCATGGAGGATCTAAGAACATCTCGTAAGAACAAAAAAATCGACTCCACAGTCCTATCCTCTATCTTGGGCTTTTCGTCGAACACTTTATGGACAATAGGAGTAGCCGGAGACAAGACAGAGGACGTGAAGTGTCGCTCATGTTTTCTCTTACTGAATTGTAAATTAGAAGAACAATAGCCGGAAAGAGAATTCCGCCGATAAATTGAGTGCCTTAGAGAGTAGAATATGTGGCCGGAACAATAAAGTCCTAGGCTTTTCGGGGGAAATCGTAGAATTTCTTATTTCTTACCATCACATCGGCGGATTTCCCGGTGCCGGCGAAGGAGTATGTAAAATTACGAATTGGGTATTTTATTGGGCCTAAAGTTATCTTAGTAGTAAATACTGGGCTTTTACTCTCTTAATTATTGTACTTCATTTAAAATCGTAAATGAGAATTAGATCAATGGTTTAATACTTTAATTGGGGGATTAAACCGAAATTTCAAAAGCATAATGGTTAACATTTGACTAATGATTAATTAGAACTAAATCATTAATTTATGACGACAAACAAAAAAAAAGTCTCCCAGATCCGTACTGTACCCGTTACCGCACCCGAAAGCATTGCCAATGTATCATGGTCCTGAAATTATTAATAACGATCACTTTTTCGTTTAATTCGATATGAATCATTTGATTCGATAAATCAATAATTAATAAGTTCTTCTTAATCAAGTGCATTAATTGTCGTTAACTACATGTTTCTTAATGCTCATTGACTTTCTATTTTGACTTTCTCCTATCGATGTACGTGTTTGATGAACATCTGGTTTCGTGCTCATCAGATTAGACCTAACAACGTGTCTTCTACATTTGTTATTGTATTTGTCAAATTTTATTAACACTAAGAGCATGCAGATAGTTGGTACTCATAGAGTATCATTAAGAATTTTTTAGTATTAATTTTAATGTTTGTTTATTGTTTGAGATTTTTAATGATACTGCTAATAAATCTGTTTCCAGTGGTGAGACCGGTATCGGTATCATTAATAAAAAAATAGATTATTTTGGTTGTTTTTATATGGTGACTTATTATGATATGATTTTTTTTGTCTTTCTTTTCTACTATAAATATTTTGTATAATTACAGAAACACCATTTCAAAATATTTGTAAGAAAATTATATGATGGCAATGGTAGCTATTTACCAGACATAGATGTATTATCAATTGTTAATTTGAGTGAACGTATGAAAGTTTTGTTTTGGTCAGAAGAATTTTTACATTGCATACTTTTGACAAGAAATTTTACTGTTTTGGACAAAAGATTTTCCATTTGTAAATACATCACAGTTCGAGTTATGTAGTCACTTGATTTGTTGACTAAATAAAAGAATTATAGTGTTGACATATAATTTTCCAAATCAATGCAAAGTACAAACTGTTTGTAGTTAACAAAAGTACCAGTTTACATAACCAAACAAGACGTTTAAACCAAAAAACCGGTTTTCATGATAGAGAAACTAGACCAGAGATGAGCTGATGTTATTCTAATCTTGATAGGCACTAGGATATTGTTACCTTGAGTACAATGTTGCCTTTTAATACCAAGAGCTCTGCATCCGTTGTTTGATCCATAACTCCAAATATTGAATGGAATCCATCCGCTAAAGACTGAACCTCCTCCAAGAGCTTTAGGGTAAAGAAGAACACTAGCCAGGGTTAATGCACCTGCAGAAAACCTTATGTCAGAAGTCGCAATGCAAGAAAATCAACACATTGTAGAGTCTTAGATCAGTAAGTAAATCCATGAAATGTGTAGCTACGGGGGATGCAAAGAGAGAGATCACCTCCTTGGCTAAATCCACAGATATACACATTTTATGGATTTATTTCTCCTGCAATTTCCTTATCTATAATGGTATGAACGTTTGTAACTGCTTTAAGCAAACTGCTTTCATCTTTCGAAGATCCCTACCACATTCAAAATTACTTACTTGATGGCATAAACATATCTCTAGAACAGAACCAACTCCTTAATCAGTTAAAGCAGCTTGTTCTTCGTACATCATAAACCTTAACATCTACTGAACAACTATATAAGAAAATCTGGAGTAGGTACAATGTTAAGGAGTAAATGAGTGAAAGTAAAGAAGATAGAGAAAGAAACCAACCTGCCAGAAGTAGCGAAGGCAACAAGAAGCCCACCATAAAAAATTCCATGGGAACCTTTTGTCTTAACGATCACCATATCCCACCAATTCTCATCGAATTCAATAGATCCCCTCTCCAGCTCCGACCTCAAATTCTTCCAACGAAATCAGACCGCCGGAGACTAAAATGGAGGAGAAATCCTAATCCAAATTCAAATGCTTCCAGTTCAAGCTCGCGGTGATGGTCGGCGGAGGAAATGAATTTTTCTTTCTCTGGATCGAGTTTGAGACGGATCGCGAGTTTGAGAGGAGATTGATTTTTTTTTTCTCTGTTTCACCAAAAAAATATGGTCCAATGGAAAACCGACACGTCACACAAATTTGAGTATCACAAGTATCAGTACACTGATACGTATCAGACCCAATATAGTGGTTTGGTCCATTATAAAATATTTTTTGGGCTAATGATACTCAAAAAATATCACCGGTGGTCATGGTTCTAGTTTCAATAAAGTTTCAAGAACACAAGATTAACAAGAATAACTCTCTTATTAATGTCTTAGGAAAATAACTCAAAACCTAAGCTCTCAAACTCTATTCTCTCAACTCTTTGGGTTACCACACCTTGGTACCTCTATTTATATAAAACTCTCAAGACCTAATCCTAACTCAATTAGGACTTACAACTTCTAGAATATTCTAGATAACTCCTAGAATATTTAAGCTAATCTTCCTTTTATTAAGTAACTTATTGCTCAAGTTACTTAACCTTCAAGCTTACTCCAACATTCTCCCCTTTAAGCTTGAAGTCTTCTCTTGGCACACCTTGAACTCCAATGAGCTTTCTCATCTCTCCAAACTTGACTCTTCCAAGCGCCTTAGTCAATATGTCCGCTTTCTGTTCTTCACCGGGAACATGTTCAACTTCAATTTGACCATTCTCAACGCACTCGCGTATAAAATGATACTTCCGGTGGATATGCTTACTTCTAGCATGAAACACCGGGTTTTTAGTGAGTGCAATTGCTGACTTGTTATCAACTCGTATGGTTACTCTTTCACATGCCGTTCCAATGACTTCAGCAAACAACTCTTGGAGCCAAATGGCTTGCTTGGCTGCCTCCGTAGTCGCCATAAACTCAGCCTCACATGAAGAGAGTGCAACTACTTGTTGTTTTTGGGAACACCATGTAATTGGACACTCATTAAGGTAGAAGACATGGCCTGCGGTACTCTTACCATCATCAACATCTACACTATGGCTATTATCACTATAGCCTACCAGTCCTGTTCCCGCTTCATTCTTAAAGTAGAGACCGTGAAAGAGAGTTCCTTGAAGATACCTTAAAATTTGTTTTAGCACAGCCCCATGTGACTCTTTTGGTTCTTGTAGATATCTACTCAAAGTCCCAACACAATAAGGAAGATCTGGTCTAGTGTGGAGTAATTATCTAAGGCAACCAACAACTCTTCTATAATCTTGTCCATTGACAATCTTCTCATCTTGTGCCTTAGAGAGTTCCAAACCGGCGGTCATAGGTATGTGTACTGCCTTGCATTCACTCATCCCGACTTCTTCAAGTATCTTCTTTGCATATCTCTCCTGTTTTAAAACGATTCCATCCTCTCCTTGAATAACCTCATAGCCTAAATCACTCATCTCGAATTTTCCCGCCATTCTTTTCTTAAAGTCAACTACGATCTCCAAGGTAGACCCGGTAACAAGTAAATCATCAACGTATACTGCTACAATTAGAAGACTCTCTACTTCTTGTTTCCTGTATAGTGAAGGTTCCTTGGAGCACTTTTCAAAGCTTAAGTCCTTGAGAATTTCATTTAGTTTGATGTTCCAAGCCCGTGGAGCTTGTCTTAATCCATAGAGAGCTTTGTGAAGTTTGTAAACTTTCTTCTCACTTCCTTTGACTACAAAACCCTCGGGCTGAGTGACGTAAACATCTTCTTTCAACTCACCATGGAGAAACACCGTTTTAACATCGAGATGATGCACTTCCCATCTATTTGAAGCCGCTAAAGCAATAATGAACCGAACTGTCTCAATACGAGCCACGGGAGCAAAGACTTCATCGAAGTCTATACCATGTTTTTGTACATAACCCTTCGCCACCAGCCTTGCCTTGTGTTTGTTCCAGCTCCCATCTGAATTACGCTTCAACTTAAAGACCCACTTCAATCCAATTGGCTTGACATTGACGGGAAGATCAACCAAGGTCCAAGTCTTGTTTTTATTTATGGAGAGAATTTCTTCTTCGCATGCATCTCTCCATTTTTTCTTATTGTTTGCTTCTTGAAAATCCCATGGTTCCTCATTGATCACCATCAAAAGTTGCTCTCCTTCGATCTCCCCTAATAACACATAGTCATTCAAATACTTTGGCTTTGTTATTTCTCTTCCGGATCTCCTTAGAACAGGCACGGGCTGTGGTGTTTGTTCTTGGTCAATTCCCACAGTTTCATCAAAATCCTCATCTTCTTCCTCATCGACATTGTTACTATCTCCTCTGTTTTCCTCTGTTTCCTCTCTCTCAACAATGGTATCAATATCTCTGATTCCATAATTAGCCCAAATTCCCACAGTTTCATCAAAATCCTCATCTTCTTCCTCATCGACATTGTTACTATCTCCTCTGTTTTCCTTTGTTTCCTCTTTCTCAACAATGGTATCAATATCTCTGATTCCATGATTTCTAAATTCTCCCAACACGAACTCTCCACCTCTATATGTTCTGAAAGTCTTAATGGTTTTTTCGGTTTCTTGTTCTACCAAAGCCTTAAAGACTTTGAATTTCTCAAACGCTTCGTTCTTCTCTTTCAACAAGATTGACCACATGTAACGTGAATAATCATCAATTAACATGAAGACGTACCTCTTTTCCGCAACAGTGGAAGGTGAGATTGGTTCGCAAAGATCCCCATGAACAAGCTCTAATGGTTGTAACGCACGAAACAGAGTGGCTTTAGGGAACACTTTCCTTGCTTGTTTTCCAAGTAAGCATGAAGAACAATTTTCCTTATCTTTTGGTGCACTAGAGATCCTAATCACTAGCTCTTTTGTGACCATTGTCTTTATGTTCTCAAAATTAACGTGTCCTAGTCGTGCGTGCCACTTAGATGAATCACTTGTTACTTCAAGTTGTAAACACTTCGTAGTCTCAACTTCCAAATCAACCTTGTATAGCCGGTTCCTTGATCGTACCGCCTTTACCAATAAGTTTCCATCACAGTCTTGTAGAGTAAGGTAGTCTTCCTTCATTCTAATATCACATCCCGACTTCGTAGCTTGCCCTAAGCTTATAATGTTACTCTTAAGATCCGGTATGTAATAAACCTCGGCCAAGATTCTTTTCTCTCCTCCTTTGCTTACAAACAAGATTGAACCTTTTCCTTTAATGTCAATACATGAGTCATCGCCAAACCGCACTTTTCCCGTAACCAACTCGTTTAGCTTGCAAAACCATTCCCGATTTCCTGTCATATGATTACTGGCGCCATTATCCAAGTACCAAGCTTTGTCCGAGCATCCCTCAAGTTCTTTAGGTCTCGCATTCTTCTCATTAAGAAAGACCACTTCATGCATCATAAGAGACTCAGCTTCATGTGTGTCATCTTCTTCTTCTTTCTCTTGAAGCTGAACTAACTTAAGCAACTTCTTCAAAATCTTTGGCTCTTCAATGCTTACTCCCAATGATACTGACTTGGTGGCTATTTCCGAGAGTTTGCCAGCAAAATCATCAATCATATCGGTTTCCTTCATCTTTATCCTATCAAGCTCAGCCATAAGAGTTTGCAGTCTCGCTTCTCTTACCCGTTCTGCACCAAGATTCCTTGCCTTAATCGCATCCCGAACAGCCTTCGAGGTTTCATGGTCACCAACTTGTAGGATCAAAGCTTCTGGTATGGATTGAAACAAGAGTGCTCGAGCTATATCGTTTTTCTCAACATCACTCGAGTCGGGATCTATTGTTTCCCAAACCTTGTTCACACGCAGTGCTACTTTCATTCTCATGGCCCAAACAGTGTAGTTCGCCGTGTTTAACATTGGACACTGTATGGCCGACGCTCCTCCTCCTTCCTTTGGTTTACCGGTGGTTGCGATAATCTCACTTATGGTTCGTATGATCTTCGTAGTGTATTCGGATATCAAACCCTAAAGCTCTGATACCAAATCTAGTTTCAATAAAGTTTCAAGAACACAAGATTAACAAGAATAACTCTCTTATTAATGTCTTAGGAAAATAACTCAAAACCTAAGCTCTCAAACTCTATTCTCTCAACTCTTTGGGTTACCACACCTTGGTACCTCTATTTATATAAAACTCTCAAGACCTAATCCTAACTCAATTAGGACTTACAACTTCTAGAATATTCTAGATAACTCCTAGAATATTTAAGCTAATCTTCCTTTTATTAAGTAACTTATTGCTCAAGTTACTTAACCTTCAAGCTTACTCCAACAATGGTCTAAGCTCCATTCTTTTTGTACCAAAGTCAAACTAACTTTAGAAGTTATAAACTGAATTGTAAGAAATTGAAATGTTTTATATCAATGTTTTGATAAATATTTGACTAATAACAAGTAAGAACATTACGACGAGTCAAAAAAAAAAAAAAAAAAAAACATTACGACGAGTCTTTTGACTGCTGATCAAGTATTCTTTTTAGTTGATTTGCCTATGAGTCATGACGATCGAGTTAAAGTGTTTATCAAGTTTTGCAATAATACATATATTGAGTATTAATAATTAATTTATTGTGATCGACTTATATACTAATCGCAATTACGTATTATATACGCGTTGACAAAAGATGTAGAGTAATATACAAATGATTATACTTCATAACAACGTTTTCGTATTCTTTCTTCTTTTTTTTTCTTATTATAAAACCCCCAATTAAAGCATTGCAACACAAATTGTGAAACCATGATCGGTAGGCATGTGGATGCATGTTGCTTATTATAATTAAGAGGACGCGATTGAAGGAAAAGTTATTTAAAGATTAATGTGATTAAAAATAATAATAGATGGATCAATCAATGGTTAATTACTTATAATCAAAAGTTAATTAAATCGAATTAGCTAACTGTCTAAATCCTGATATCAACTTGTACCCGAATAGTTTCGTACTTTGTATTGGCCAAATTGTGTTTAACTTTATATATATTTTTAAAAAACTTTATATTAAATAATAACTTTTGTGTCTTATACACTTTAATTTGGTAACAAGTTTGAACTCCAAACTATACATACAATATTGCTTGTTTCGAACTTTCAGAGGTTCTCTCATACACAAGTCTATATAGCATACGCCTCGTCTGAAGTAAACCGATTTGATAGGCTACCATGTTTTGCATCTTCAAAGTTTGATTTGATATTATTTATTTTTACTATGTAAACGATCATTTTTAGATTCCGTATTCCAAAATAATATTAAAATTTAGTATACATATTTTAATAAAAATAAAATATAGGTTATAATTTAATATCCATACGAAGTGACAACGCTTGGTATCCGAAATGAAGGTCGACATGATCAAATAAAGTTATGAATTTGTTTAAGGTGAAGGAACTGTTAAATAAAAAGTGTTATACCCAAAAAAAGTGTTAAATAAAAAAACTATAGTGCATGAAGAGTCGTGCGTAAGAGAGAGGAGCTCTATAAATAGGGTTAGATATAGAATATATAAAGAAGCTCTATATAAATAACTAAATAGGAGATTAATGAAATCATAAAAGATGCTACTCGAAGCTTCTAAATCTAGCCAGATCAGCATCTAACAAATTCTCTTCCATATGCCACGTGAGAAAGGCAAAATTTGATCCCACACAATCTTCATTTTCATGTTTGTCGTAATAATGTCGACTCCTCTTCCTCTTATTCGTTGTAATCGTTTAATACTGCATAATCAATTAATCATATCATTTATTTGCTTCATCTCTCCTCCAAAGGCCAATCTAACTCTCTATTTCAACGCTACTTCTCCAACCAGACTCTCTTCAATGTACAGTCCTATCCGATGAACCACGGCTAGGTTTTTGTCTCCAACTTGACAATCGAACCCATTTTTTAGGTATGAATCTGTTTTTCCTTCTTCATTGATATGGCTTTCATCTTCAGCTTAAATCAGTGTGATCATGTGCGCATTAACATCCACATATATATCGTATGCATGTATTAATATTTATTATCTGTTTCTTCAAGATTGTTAATATACAAGAAAGAGGAAGGCTGAAGCTAGAGGGATCTGGGAGAAATCATAAAATTTGGGTATGTCTCTTTTTAAATCAGACATTTGTTCTGTTCTTTTAAATCATATGTATGATGTCATACAATATTTTTATATATATATATTCGATCTCCTACTAGAACATATCTGGTCTATTGTTATAGTTCCAAGTCGGGGCCACTTATCTGATAGGTGCTTGGTTTTGATGGACCTCAGTATAGGTTCTATGTTGTCGCTCTATGTTACAAGTTCAATGAGCGATTGGCCTGCATTTTTCAATAAAAAAGAATCATACTATATTGTTTGAGGTAACTTTTTGGATCTTTTATAGGTCTTCCATTTTCTTTTTTTTTGGTTATGTTCTGTTATGGCTTTAGAAAATTCAGTTTTAAAAGAATCTTAAATTGGAGATGACATTGTCTCCATATTTACTTGATATTTAATTTTCATGTGAACATTATTGTATATACTACTCCCTCCGTTTCATAATATAAGTCGTTTTAGCTTTAAGCACGCAGATTAAGAAGATCTACTTTTAAAAAGTTCAACCAATCATAAAAGAGACTGCATAATATAAATAATTATAAAATATTAAAGTAATATATAAAGTGCATAGAAACTTGAAAACGACTTATATTATGAAACAAAATGTTTTCTCCAAAACGACTTATATTATGAAACGGAGGGAGTATATAGTAGAAAGAGTTAGAGGTTCGATATATCTTCTGTATTATTTTGGTTTTCATTGCCTCATATATATGTTTACACTACAGTTCCATATTTACCTAAGAAAGGCCTTTTCACTTTGCTTTATTGTAGCTAAAAAAATGTTTAATTTGAGGTCCAAGACCTGCTTATTTATCACTCTTTCGAATTAAAGTAAAATATGTAACACTCAAGCTTGAGTTTAGACGTTTCTGAGTTTTCCTTAAGACATGACCAAGTGGGCAAATACATAAATATTGCGTACATATTCCTTATGATGTATCTATGATTCATGTGGTTGGTGCTAGAGGAGAAAAGCTCGCCTGTTTTCCATCATCATTCTGCTTAGTGCTATTGGACATTCATGAAAAATCAACATATACTCATACATGAAAGTTCATAGAAGCAATTACTTTTCATTAAGTTCTAAATAATTGAACCAGTTTTTTCATTGTGTGGTGCCAAGAAAGTTGTCATGGCCCTGAGTTAAGAATCGAGGATACTCCCAGTCTCTCAAGTACTTAAAATACATTTTAGAAACTGGAGAAAGTAAATTCTATTGCTGTAGTAAGGTACGAAAATCTTTAATCCTCAATTTTAAATTTCATCTCAAAAACAAGCAAGAGGAGGTTATACTAATGTTATTTTTTCTCAGTCATGGTGTAATGGAGTATGTGTCAGAAAGGCTCAGAGCTCATGTCATCGTTAAAAAAAAAAAACTATGCAAATTCCATAGTAATCTCTTGACGTTTTTTCCATCATAATTGATTGATATGACTTTCTTTTGGTATCCAGAAAGAAATGAAGTGATTATTAATGATTGTCTAAGTACAAGGGTCAAAAGAATTCATGACGTGCTACACAAGTCACAAGCTAATAACCTCTTTCTATATCACTCTAAATTATAATCATGGTAAAGATGGATTGATTTGAGGTTCATGAGTTTCTTACTTTGTTATAATTTTTCTAACACATAATTTAAACCCCTTAAGAAATGAGTAGGATTCAGTATTTACAGGTCGCTCTTAATTGTGTTTCTTTTTTTTCTGTTGAATTTTAATTTATATAAAAAATGTTTCAATTTACTAGCTCGAAATGGTGTTTAGAAAACTTGATGAGAAGTTTCAGCCTTTAGGCCCTTCAGTCACTTATATGTGAAATAACCAACTCAGCTCTTCTAAATTCTCTTATTCAGTCTACTTATTTTTATGTTAAAACATTGGTATATATATGAAAGCTAGATTTCTAAATATATATATTCATACCTATGTTGTGACCACAAATTAGGATCCCTAATCTAAAATTTATAGTAATACTGTTTATGTTCCTAGACTTGGTAGAACTTGAAACACATCACAGTACATCACAAATATTTCGTAAGTTCAAATCAATTCATATGGAGCTTGTCCTAGCCTATATATAGCCAAAAATATTCTTATACCGTTTTTTTTTTTTTTTTTAATCGTCAAATTAAATCAAACCTTTTTCCATGACAATGAGACTAATTGGATATAGTTTACAATAGATCCTGATTGGCCCCTTTGATATAACTAGGTAAACTGGCTTCTTGAATAAATTGTCTCTTATTTTGGTTTTATACGATTTTCATGGTTGTTATCTAATAAAATGTTTATACAGATAGTGTCTTAGAAGGATATTTATGAGAAAATATGGATTTATTTATCTGATATTTTCGTTTTATAGTGGATAGATAGTAAATTTAGAAATAGAATCCACCATAACCTGAAAAAACAAACAAATGGAATCCCGTGGAATGAAGTATCATCATATCTCCTTTTTTTTTTTTTTTTTTTTTTTGGAGAGAATTAGTCCAATCTGCTACTCGTAGTATATATAGGACTACGAGTCTTATATTTTTCTTTCTTTCTTTCTTTCTCTATCTAGTATCTAATAAGGAAGACTAACCAAAGAGAAAAACAAACACTGCTTTTGGTCATTAAATATTCCGTCTAGATGGTGGATTTGGAGTTAGTGCATGCATATTCTTTTCTTTTTTTTTTTTTTTTTTTTTTTTTTTTGCATGCATATTCTTTGTCTCCCATCACAAAATAAAGTGCACTTCTACTATCCAGAATTGCAGATTGTACAATACAATACACTAAAGAAAGTCGCAATGTTAGATTTTATTGATTTGCACAATAAAACAAAAGATTTTATTGA